AATAATTGGAATGTTCAAAACTGTTCGAATATTGTATTAAACATATTTTATAGCTCCCATGTCAAATCAAGTAAATAGAGTGAGGGTAGTGGGTGGTTTGGGTCACACCGCCCTGTAAAGGAATGAAGAGCAACTTGTCTCAAATGGAATGACAAGATCGCTTGGCCAATTAAATAATTGAAACGTAACTGTTTGAATATATTGTATTAAACATATTTTGTACACAAAATAATTTTTTAACATAATTTTTGGAACTCTTTCCCATTGTACTGGCAATTGAGGTCTGGGGTGAGCACATGTCTAACCAGGCAATTTTGTTTCTGTCAGACAATGCTGCAGTGGTGCATATAATAAACAAGCAATCATGTAAAGATAAGGACATTATGAGTCTTGTTAGAAATATTGTATTATTTTGTCTCGTTGCAACATCAGGTTTAAGGCAAAACACATTGCGGGGAAAAATAATGAATTGGCAGATTCTCTTATTCTCGACTTCAGGTCAAGAAATTTCAACAGCTGGCACCATGGGCAGATCAGTGGCCAACCCCTATTCCAAAAGATACATGGGAGAAGTTCAGTAGTATATGAATTACTGGCGTCAGCATTTGCCCCATCAACACGATGTTTTTACAAACAACCTTGGCAGGCGTTACAAAGTTTATACCTCAAGCAAGCAAGCCGCTCAGTGGGTCCTTGAGTTTTTAACAGACATGCACATGCACGGGTTCTCAGCAAATATAATCACCACAACTGCGTCAGGAATTAGTTATTTTCATAAGATACAGGGGTGTAGGAATATGACAGATTCTTTTGTTGTCAACAAATTATTAACAGCCATGCGTGAACAAACGCCGGATATAGATATGTTTACCAATATCACGCTCCATTATGCATGCCCTTGTTGACTCTTTGTCATGCATTGTTGGATCAAGCTATAACCACCTGTTGTTTAAAGCACTCTTCCTGTTCATGTTCTATGCATTGGGGGGGGGGGGGCTAACTTTTACTACCAGCGTGCTCTGTAAATAGTAACTTTCACCAAATACAAGCATGGCTATGCTCCTCAAGTTCGTTATTATTAGTTGTCAACAGGTCTCATACTGTCCAATTGCAGCAGTCTCAAATGTTGTTGCCGTTAGGAGAGCAAAAACCTGTTCTTTATACCTGATCAACAGTCTATAAAACTTGATTATTTTATGCTTAAATTCAATGCTACTTTTTTTTGTGGCTTAAGCCCCCAAGTTCTGGCTTGTCTGATGTACAAATCATAAGCCTGGGGAGCCTGTATTTAAAGCGGGGTAGTCGTCATTTGCGCATGCGTCAGATGGTCACAGCGTGTCACTGTTTACAAACAAGCGTCTACCATAAGCCTTTGCGTTTTTAGCGTGTGTTTATCGTCGCTTGGGACTCAATTCCAGCGCGTGCGCAGGTGACGACCCTCCCACTTAAAACTGTACACCCGGTAATATGCACTATTTTAGTCTAGCAAGGACAGTAGTTGTTTTCCTATATCATGGTTGGACCAGCATGGGCAGCCCTTACAATTACCCCTGGGTGTTCGGTATCTCCTCATTTTTGCAGAAAATTTGTTCTACATAGTTTTGGTGTTGGACAGACACAAGCTGTGTCTGGTGGCATGATTTGGCTCCACACTCAGTGACGCTAACTTTGTCATTTGTTCAACAAACTTGATTTGCTACTTTTAGTCAAAACTTTAGTATTTATTCAATTAACTGGATATGTTACATTGTATTCAAGATTTGTCGTTTATTCAAGTAATTTGTTCACTTTACCCAAATAGTTAGGGCTTTTGAATAAACCGGTCACAACTGGTGTATCCAAGTTGCGGTAATCCAGGTTTCATTGTGTACATGGGTTCCAGACACCAACAATACATATGCACAATCCGAGCGAGGTTGAATCGTCGATAATGACAAGTTATAGTTTTTTTAGTTTTCGTAATGTTTTATTTTTTAATTGTAACGAGAAAAGTACATCACATTAAAGTGTCACAATAACAAAAGATACAGCGTACAAACGCAATAAACAAATAATATATAATGTACAAGAAAGTTTTTTTCAATATTAATCAAAATAGTGTTGTAGCGTGCCCAATTTCTGAATAAAATTAATTTCACTTAAAATATGTTGTTCTCATTTTCTTCTTTACATTTCTGATAAATTGGGTTAAAGACGGGGTTGCATTTGTATAACGAATTGTATATAGAAAATATTTACCTAACAAAACAAGATGGTTAAGCAGAACACAATGCTCTGGCATTCCAAAGACTACATTCATACAAGTAAATGCATGATCATCACTTTGCGTTATCTTTTTCCACCAATCTAGAAAGGATAGTTAAAATAAATTAGCAGTATTGCATTCCCATAAAAGGTGTGGTATAGTTTCTTTTTGTTTACAATATTTACAGAGATAATCAACTCTAAACTTATTCTGGTAAAGGTAGTTATTTGTAGCAACAATTCGGTGCAAAATTTTAAACTAGAAAACTCTCAATTTTCCTTCTATCGTGGTCGCATATGGAAGTTCCCAAACATATTTCCAGCCTACCTCACCTGGGCTCTCACAATCATTCTCTTCCCATTTCAAGTTCGACGTTGGCTTTTCAAAACATTTTGTTGCCATGGCATTATAACAATCTCGAGTTTTACTGTTTAAAAGTGTTGGATCAGATGTCATACCCTGAACAGTTGTACCGATATTGTAAGCAAACTTTACCTTTCATTTTGGGGAATTGCATGTTTCACACCATAGTAAGTCAGAAAATCTGTGTTGGTTTTACACTTGTCAATTAATTGGTCATATGACATTAAAACACCATCAGAATTACAAAGGTCTCCTATACACTCTACTCCCCGACTTAACCATTCACTATAGAATAATGATTTACCTTCTACTACAATGTCTTTGTTATTCCACACAATTTCTGATTTTACCCATTCTCCATCAACTGGTGGACTGTGACATTATAAATCCTCCCAAAAATGTATAATATCAGAATAAAATGGTGGTCAAAAAAAAAATTACAAGGGTCATAATTAAATTTACATTTAATTTTGGCCCCCACATTTCTCAAAATAACTCTTTGGAATAATTCCCCAAGGTGCACCAGTTTATATTATACGCATTGCATATGCAAGTTTATTAGCCTTATTTTGTAACTCTAAGTCGATCATGCGCAACCCACCGTTATTTCTCCCCCCTATCACGTATTACTTTTAATGTGGCGCCTCTTTCCATTACAAAGGAAACTAAACAATGAAGGAACTGAAATAGAGTTCATCACAAGAGGTAAATTGGTAGCTCCAAATACCTTGCTCAAAATTAACCTGGCCAATTAATGACAGGTCACGCGACTTCCAATTTTTAACTCATCGTTTTAGTTTTCTCATGAATATTTAAGTTTTTGATGGCATCATGGCCAATAATGGGCAGCCTTGTCTTATACCCCTGGATAGCTTAAATCGTCCTGATACCATTATATACGCGAACGAACAGCTGAACCTTGCATTTTATGATCCATAATTTTATTGAGCTCCTCATTTAAAGCTTAATATAATTGTATTAAACTATCTCCATCCAAAATTTCATCAACTCTTTGCTCCAGCTTGTGCAACTCAATTGACAGTTCAGTTCCCTGTCTCGCTGTTCCCTCGCCCGTTATTTTGGAAATCCAACCATAGCATCCCGAATTTTATATTTCAGAAATTCACAACGAACCTGATCGTCAAGTAGAGCAGTGTCGCGAAGGATTTTGGAAGTTAATTGTTTCATTTCCTTGATGTAAAGCTTCAAAAATCGAGTCCTTTCTGTGCCCGTTTATCAACAGCAAAAGCCAGAATAATGGCGTCATGATCTGATTTGACGCATGGTCTGATGTCACAAATATTCACCTGTTTTTTTAGTTGACTAGGTACTAAGAAATGATCCAAGCGTGTTGCATAGTTTCCCCTTCTCGTAAATCTAAATTTACTAGGATTGAGTTCTATTTATTTATTTATTTATTTATTTATTTATTTATTTATTATTGTGTTGTCTTCTATAGAGTAGGCTACTAGTGACATTGGTTGCGTATTTATGAAATGTTAACAATTTAAATGTTTAAAAAAGTTACTTTGACTTTGACAACAAAAATGGTTACCACTTTTTAGACAGATAAGACTGATATGTATAAACCCTGGGCATTGTTGTAAATATTCCGTTACGATACGTGTGCTACACATAAATTTCACATGCTACAAACGACATATACAAAAACATGAAAAAAAAATGATCTTGCTATTTCGGCAATCGCTTCGATACTGCAATGCACTGCACTGCAGACAGACGCGCAACCCACTCAAAACACAGTTCAGAACATACTAAACATTATCTTTGCTACACTTTATTCATTCGCCATATTTTCAAACCAAAATAAAATAATTTTCTATCTGTGTGTGATGTTGCTGATTCAAAAATAAGTTGCAGCAAATTCACATATGTAAAAGATCTTACGGAAATCCATGAAATATTGTTATTATTGTGCGTCTCGTCAGACCCAACTTTGAAACATTTTTACCATAAAAGAATGACCAGAGATCAAAACTCAACTTGCAAATTCAACCCCAAGAACAATAAACAATTGTTTGCAGACAGTGACACAGATAGGCACCCAAATCTCAAAGTGGCCGTTCCGCCAAATAAAGTTTGAGCCACGCAGTAAGTAACGTTTAAACCCATCAAATAGCTGTCAATATATTTCATTTGAATACATGAATAGGCCACTCAGTTACGATGATTTTCGTAATATTGTCCGCTGCGTCAAAAAAAAACCAGAAATGAAAAAAGTTGATCTCAACTGTAGAGGGCCAATTTTAAGATGAAGGGATGATATTAGACATGCATATGATGTATCATTTCAATTAGTATGGCACTAATTTATATAAATTCAATTATATGTCAAGATTGAATTTCCAATCTGAGATTTAACTATTTTTTGTCAGATGTCATCACGGATATTGTCAGTTTCATGTATGTTTTTGTCATAAGACGGCTCGCGTACGGAAGGTATGTTAATATTTCGAAGCAACCCGTTTGCTAATCGAATATTTTCTTTGATTACTGTATGCATATCTGCTGTGTAAGGGTCAAAGTCAAATGTCTCTTCTTTGTGGCGGTGAAAGTTGCCTTCAATGTCCATTTCCAAACAATGAAGTCGTTCAGGTGTCAGTGTCATATTGAGGAAGGACAGCATTCTTTTCACTTCGTAGACCGTGTCATGTTTTAAATCTTCGTAATGAACAACCAATAGCGGTTTCTTTGATGAGATCCACTCGGCCATCATATTGATCCATTTCTTGAAGTGTTCCATAGCAAAGTCTTCCCACTCAACATCTGTAAGATACAGCGGATATTAAGTATTTTTTTTATAAATAATATGGGCATTGACTGAACATTTGGCTTTCGGCTAGTGGTTACGAGTGATGAAGCTATTTTAGTATGAGGCAATGCTTTTACAATGTCGAATTGAACAAATTGTATAATTGTATAATTCAACGGTAAATTATAATTAAAAGTACTATGGTTGCCAGAATGTTAATCAAAATGAACTTTTCATACTTATCATACAAATTCATATCCAGGTATATCGAATTATTCTATGGAATATTCATAGCCTTATTACAAATCATTACATCATAATCCTGTATTAACCTCGCTAACTAAATTTGTACACTGCGTGTATTTTAAATACTTAATAAATCACACAGTCAAGTACTACATTATTTTAAACCTGTTTAGAGTCTTGCCAATCATCTACATTTTACTGGACGCCCAAACATTGATCATGAAAGATTTTACGACCATTTAAATAATCAATGTTGTTAAAAACCAGACTCTTTTGATGCTGCTTAATACTTTGAGCATCATAATGTATATCTTTGTTCTAATTTTGGCATCAAAATAATTTAAATTCACATTTTCCGGGGACTGTATATAACGGTCACACACAATTTTGTTAAATTTACGTATTCTGAAGATTTGGTGAAAAAAAATTCAGCAGAATTTCTGTGACTGTTAAGCTTCTCGAGTTTTATTCTACATTTTTCAAAAGTTAATTGATAAGTTATTGAAACATTCTCGATATGATGAACTCTAGGTAGAATGCATTTAACGGTGCAGTCTTATCTGGAATAAGATATTCAAATTCAAAGCCGCCAACCAATTTGCGAGTTACTACTTATGAGACTAGTTGTAAAGCAGGTATATCATATTTTTACGTAACTTTGATATCACATGTTTTACCTTACAGTGCACTTACTGTTTTTAAATTCACGTAGAGGAATTTTCCCAGTGTGTTTCTTTTTGTGATAATGGTATAATGTTATGACCGCGTCATATGGATTTCGTATCAGTAATATTGCAGATTTGTACTCATCACGAAAACGGTGATCTTTTATTACTAGCGTCCGTCCACGTTTATAGTATTCGGTTTCGCCAGTGAAACCTACATATGAACGCAATCGTAAAACATAGTTACGCAAGCTATAATTGAGATCTTTGGAGTGTACTAGTACATTATTACAAAAATTGCGACATACACAATGCTATTATTAAGTATATTATTTAAAGAGGTGTTATTACGTGCATGTTTCGTAAATGTAATAATATGCTACGGACTAATGATCATTGGTATACATCGCGCCCTCTGGTGACTGTGTGTATTTATGTAGTTCGTCATCGTCTCTAGACAAGGTGGTCAACCTGGATGAGTCTATGAAAAAATGCTAAATTGCATAAATACAAAATTGTTACCATAGTAATATGGAACAGTATATATCGAATTAATATTTTCTTAAGTAATTTAAAAAAGCAGTATTCTTATTTACAAGCACTAGAATGGTATTCAAACCAATCACGTACGCTTTGGAAGATTCCATATCAAATTTGCATAAATTAGTGTAGATTGTTTTTTTTTTCTCGATGAATAATTTACTAATAATGTTCTATGAACTAATGATCATTGGTATACATCGCGCCCTCTGGTGACTGTGTGTACATTATTGTGGTAATATATTCATAAATGAAAGTACATGAAATAGTCTTGAACTGCTTAAAGAATATGAAATGTGACTATACCTCCAAGATACAGGTCATTATCATAGGAATAGGCACCAGTGTACACCCCCGATGCAAGTTCCAAGAGATGTCGTGTCCAGGTATTTCCTGATCCCGGGAAACTCGACAGCGCCACCAAAGGTCTTGTTGTGTTTGACCAGTTACCAAATGCAATGGAACAATCAGGCTCTATATACAATGAAAGAATAAACAATGTGATACCATGTTTACAGCACGAGTTGAACTCAAGAATTATAATAAACGAATAACATACCGAAAGTAAATCTGGTCTATGAACGACTGACAACCATTGTCAAAAACAAACTAACGAAGTATATAGAATCCAACCCCTTATGTATTTGTAACAACTAGAATATTTGTTTATGAAACAGTACTCAGTGTATAAAATCCTTAACGCACAGCATTAATTTATGTAATATATTGAGTAGCCAAATCTAAATTTACATTTGAAAGTGATCTTGATTTCAATTGTTTCCAAATATTCTATAGATTCTGTCAATATCCACGTTTCATTTATATCACTGTAGTTTTGGGGCTTCTTATGTCGCTGTTTATAATGTTGTTTTAAAGATTGGATGTTTAATTTAGTCTGGACAGTCATTTCTCTATTTCTTGATAGTTTGTATATGTTATGATTGACTTGTCATCTTAACAAAATGTCAGTCAGTCAATTTTTTAATGAGCGGTTATAGTAAAACACATATTTTTAAGACAGCATGGGGCAAATTTTATTTATTTATTTATTTATTTATTTATTTATTTATTTATTTATTTATTTATTTATTTATTTATTTATTTATTGTTAGAAGTTCCGATATAAATACAGACGGGAATCGGAGCAAATCACCACTTGAAGAAATCAACAACGATGCGGAGTTCGATCGCTATTAACACAGTAAGCGCAGTATTAATTTCATGAAAAACTAGGGGTATTTCTGTCTCGTACTTTTTATATTTCCGAATACGATTTACGTTGTTCGTAGAATCCGCTTTTGTAATAATGAGAAACGCACGTGGAACTGTATATATGTTTGTTTCAGTGATTCATCGTCACCTGACATTGATTGACAGCAGTTAATTATTCAAGCTAAGCAATGTGTGTTATAACCGGTTCGTGTTTTTATCTTTTATTCGTCGATATCGCAACTACTATTTATTGTCATAAATACAACATATGATTTTGACATCAAAATGATCATTCAAATGAGTACAACTAAGTAGTATTTTCTTTTCATACGAAAATGGAGAGCTTCGGCCACGGAAGTTTCCTACGTTACAATCACGGCGTAGATATGTCTATTCAGCGTGCATGAAAGTTATTACAATATAAATATGTCGTGATCATTAGAGTTGTTTTGTAATACAATTAATACAATTAATACTGTGTTTTTTGTTACGTGTGTTTGTGACGATATAGAACGTTTTTTTTTTTTGAATAACGGCGTGCGACAATTATCGGAACGAAAATTTGACTCAATCCGGGGATCGATCACACTCGTACTAGTACGTCCATGATCACACGATTCCGAAATTACCTAGTTCAACTGAGTTACATCATTGTCGTCACAGTGTACGTTCACGGACGTGCCATTTTTCATCACTGTTAGTACGCCCATGGTACGTTTGAACTCACATCATCTTTTACTAGGAGTGGTCTGATGTTCAACTTCATGTTGTTATTCATGCACTCAGTTCCGCAGATTAAAAAAAAAATCAATTAGAGATCACTCAACTTAGTTATGACAAGGTGTTGAATGATCAGGAAAATTATTCGATGGTCTGGCATGTTAGAGTCGACTTCTCTAAATTGGAAATCGCAATACACAAGTTATTAGTTAATAAATATAATCGATAAGATATATATATATATATATATATATATATATATATATATATATATATATATATATATATATATATATATATATATGTGGCCAAAAAACAAAAACGTGCGGTTGGCAAATGGTGACCGAAACTTCTGTCAACCATAAAAGTATTATCGCCGGCAGAACAGCGGTCAACAAATTATTAAAACGACAGATTTTTTTTTTGTGTTAGCTTGACACCACAGCGATATAATTAGAGTTGTTAATATTATATCATAATTGAACAAACATGCAAATCAAGCAGAACCTGGCTCGAACAAATTACTCCCAAAAAAGGTCAAATTTAATGACGTCATCATAACAAGGTGTACAACTAACAGACTAACATGTAGAACGCTCGGACCGTCGACAACCAGCAGACTGAAAGCAAACCAGTGACATCATCACAGCAGCTGATACTCGAAACACGGGACTAACACTAATCTTCGGATAGTTCACACCCGTTGCGCAATCCCATGCCGCGTTAAACAGTCTAAGACATGGGGATGTCTAGGCTGGGACTGTATTTTGAGCATTGGGTTACCGGCCCAAACGATCTGAATAAAATACATCCGATGTCGATCAGAGCCGGACCAAATGACCAATCAGGGTTGTGTGTGGAGAGAGGGACAAGAATGATTGTTGTGTTATAATAGTTGTATGCGAGTGTATACATTTTTATAAAAAAAATGAATGACAAAATATTGAAAGACCACGTATATGGATTCCGTTACTATTTTCCAATACTGTCAGCCTCCCAATGCACTGTACATGTATTTCAATGAGTGTTTGAGTACATGTAGATCACACTCCCTCCACATTCAGTTCGTAATAACCTTTGTTCTAGATGTTAATCCGTCTGCCCATAACAGCAGTGCGTATTACACAGAACGATGGATAAGAACTGAGGGTAGATGCAGTTATTTAGGTTTTTAGGTGAAAATGGTTCATAAAACTCGAAGCGCATAGACACCTCTCCTGTACAATTATCTAATTGTTTAACAAGAAAACATCGACGGTGATACCAAGCCATAAAATGTTCTGGTATTTGAAGACCAGGATGAATCGTAACTTGATAGACTCGTTCTAGTTCTATATATAAAATGATATCTGAAATCCAAATCTATATACTGATTAATTATAAATCTGCCCAAATCGACATACGTTATTATATAGTGTATTTTAAAGGACAATAATTTCTCACTAAGGACACTTTAAGCACGAAATGTGCACGTGAAATGTTGTACGACGCGATATTAACAACAGAAGTGCTATGTTTTTTTTTTCATTTACATTTCCCGAATTGCTTTCAAAACCGGACAAATGTACACCGTCACGAGAGAGAAACATAAATAAACAATTTGTGCTAAAAGTTGAATATCACAAAAGAAAAAAAAATGAAACAGCATGGGCGCTGCATTAATTCAGGACTGGGGATATCCTGGATTTGTTTAACCCTGAACATGCGGTAATTCAGAAATAAAGCACGACAGTAAAGTACAAATAAATACATGCATCTTAAAATCTGCATTATATTAGTTACATATAATATGTATATCAAATTCATTTAATAGAGACCCGTACATACGCGTGCCAACTACAAGTGAACTGGTGAGTAAATAAAATACTGATAACGTTTCTGGATAACGTCAAATTAAATGTAATTTATAATGAACGTACTCCGCGCACCAATCTGATTAAAATCCGATGACCTATATGCATGAACAAGTAACGTGAATAGTTTATTTGCCGGCTCCATTTTTTATTGCGATATATTAAATGCGCACATTTCCTTTTTCTTTAAAATGTGCAAGAAGAAGGAATTAACACACCTGCTTTAAAAAACAATGTCCTAGTCATCCCACAAACTTGATTTGGTTAAATCACTAATCTACCTATGTAAGACTCAGGAACCTGGTTCTGTTATCATAGTTCCTCCTTTGGTTTTATTAATGAAAGTTCAGGTAAGATTTTAACTCAACATTCAAACCATAGTTAGAGATTAGTATTCTGCCACACAGCCTTTGGTATGGTAATTGTTATCAAAACAACTCATGTACTCCATTTAGACCCCTCTTTCGATATTGAAAATTATAGTATAGGATCGGGTTGAGTTGGCAGAATGATGCACCATCTCAGCAGCCTTGTTTTATCATGTTAAATTAAAAAAATATATATGATAAATGTAACAATATGAAAGAGGGTTAATTTATTTGAAGACTTTGCATCAAATTAAGACATCAGTGCCATGAAGAGCAATAAGCCACATCACCTAATTATGTGACTTCTTGGTTAATATCATAAAACATAGCATATATTTGCTGGTATATTAGGCCATTAATTTATTTACCAGCATAACATGATAATCTGCTTAAAAATAATTTACAGAACAAGGTTTATTTAAATATCAATAAATATATATCTCTCAAACAACATATGTTTGTCAATCACTAATTTACTGAAAATACTCTTATAAAAATAATTCGTCACATTTTTAGAATTTTTAATTTTTGTTGTTGCTAAGTCAACAGAAATATGTGGCTATCTACTGTTACCTAATTGTAATGGTACTGTTTATCAAAATAGAACAACTATTCCAAACATGCCTGTTAAGTAACTAGATGATGGATACTAACGATACCTGGTGGATCTTTTCTTTGTGTGACCAAAGATATAACTAAGACATTTTGCATTGAAAACACTGACTAAAAAAATAGATGGAATCAATTCTGGTCAGGCATAGACAAGAACAATGAAGTTATCAATAATTATAAAAAACACAGAACTGGTATGAAAAAAAAAATATAGTACAGCATCATGTCTAAGAAAATACTAATTAACATGTTGAATTAATCCATGTGCTGCATTAATCTCATAACATAAATTGTACAATATAAAAGTACACTGTGTTTGCAGCCTCTCAGCTGAGATAGCTGTTACCAATGCACATCAATGAATACAATATAGGTGATTAACAAAACTATTATGTAAATTAGCTGATATATGATATATTGAATATGCGACACGCGAATAGTTTATTTCTAAAACTGAATCCACAAACAGCTCATTCATCTGCCCTGGAAGATAAATGTTCCTGCAGTGTCACGTTCATTCTGAAAAAAATGAACATGATAAGTTGATAGCGTTGTTAGCCCTGGTCGTAAATATGCGTATTGACAGTGACCAATCTGTCAACCGGGAGCAGTAGAAAAAACATCCACATTTCAAGAATTCTTAGTTTAGAAACGATCGACTAAAAGGAATTGTCAAGTAAAGATCGTGATTGGGACAAAACGACTTGAAGTTGATACCAGATCACCGACGCTAACAACAACATTACTGGCACATGTATTTCATCTGCCACCATACAGAAATGAAATACAATCAAGGCCAAACTTGTTAATGAATGCCACTTACTTGTTATTTTAGACAACGATCCATCATCGAAAATACTGTGTTGTCAATAAGTTGTATTAGGTCCAGATTACGCAAAAGTGGCTGCCGTACGCCGCCATGTTTTGAGTCATGCTCAGGCACGTTTGTAACCCGTGATCTCATTGGCTGGCCCCTGGTGAGATTTTGCACGGGATTTGTATACCCATTGAGTCAAATGTAGTTAGAGGCGACCGGGACACGATTTTCTAAGAACTGATTAACGGCAATAAAAACCAAAAATCGATATATTCAAACTAAAATACGAATAATTATTACATGAAGGGTCATAAAAAAAAAAAAAAATGGAGCCTCATACCTACATTAGATTTTACACAATAGTACACAATAATCCGTATACAGTTGACATAATGATCAGTTATCTGGCTGTATATGGCGTTTCAGTTTTAGCATAAATCAGCATATATTTCAGCATTTACGTTTCTTTCATAAAGATGAGCTGTTGTAACACGGTAATCTTACTTTGATAGCAATCATTAGGTCTAACATCATAAATGTTTGGATAAGCCTCCTCTCCTTCTTCTAGTATTTAGATTATCAATCTCCATTGCTACGGTAGTAGTGAATATAGTGGTAGCAGTCAGTGTTTATGTTGAAGATCATTCCCTGACACTGGATTCTTAGTAATAGTTTTAGCATTTCCAATCTGTATGCATCTACTTAGCCGTTTAATTGTAGGATTATTGGTTATGGATACCAAACCCGTGGTCAGACTCTACATGGATGAAGACAACCTCAGCACCCAATAATCTGACCTCAGCAAATAATGCCATTATGGCATTGCGAACATCATCATGCTTCTCGCCATCCTGGTATTTAAGGTTTAAATACTATTGCGTGAAGAACAAAAACGTACTGCGCTGACGACGCATAATTTCTGCTGCGATATTGTGAGACAAGTGATGCAGGCTTCAATCATCGTTCTGTGAGACTTGTGTGAACTGTTCTGCGATCTCGTGCTATCATTGGTGCTCTTTAGTATTAACAAAGCCCGACAGATAGATAGTTTTGCATATGCATCCGTGATGACCCACAACTGGTAATTTGGCTAAGGTTCTTTAA